CGACCAAACCACTATAAATCTAGTTTGCATATTCTTTACTTTCTTACAATTTTTTTTTTTCTACACTTTGATTTACTTTTGGTTAACTTTGCGAAAAATCTTGAGGGAGATAAATCTCTGAATAAAGTTTTATTTTGAAACTATAATATATATATATATGTATCTGTGTGTGTGTGTGTGTTCTAAAAGTAATAACCGCCTTTTTTTGTGAACAAACCATCAAAGATGATTGTCTCTAATCTTATCTTCCATTGGAACTTCTCCAACCTTTTCATGTATATGCTCATTTCATATCTTGTCTCTAAGAGTAAAGCCACTCATCCACCTGAGCATCCTCATCTCTACAACACTTAACTCAATATTATGCTTCTCTTTTAATTGCCAACATTCTGTGCCATAAAATGTTGTAGATCTCACCACCATATTATAGACTATTTCCTCAAGTTTGAAGAGGACTTTTCTATCACACAACAAGCCCGAAGCATTCCTCCACTTCAACCATCCAACTTGAATTCTATTAATAATATCCTCATCTATTTCACTATTACTCTGAACAATAGACTAAATATATCTAAAACGTGTACTCTTATTAATGACTTGATCACCCAAAGTCATAATCCCCCCATAAGAACTATTAAAATCTTTTTGTTTTTAAAAGTTAAACAAAAAAATTTTTTAAAAAAAAAATCTTATTTGCTTTTTATTTTTGTTTAAATATTTTATTCTCTTAAATACTTCGACATATTTCGTTTTGATTTAAGCAAAATATTTTTTAAAATATCAATTCACCCCCTCTTGAGGTGCCATAAGCACTTTAAAAAGTAGGGGCTTTCATTGTCTAGTTTAAAATAAAGGCTTGGTCTAATTCAAGATCTATTCGGATCTCTTAGGCCAAAATCAAAGTTTGGTTGTGTTGATAAAATTGGAAAATCTCTCAGTTAATAACTTAGGCTAAGGTTTTGTTTGAGATAACTTTCTTATTGTTTTTATTTTCAAATCACAAGGTTTCCAATCATAATTTTTGTATGACCATTTCTTTTTCACTATTTTCAAAAAAAATTTGTGCGGGGAAACTGGTTCCTGCAACAGTTAAAAATTTTTATTTTCTTTAGCAATTTTATAAAACATTAAAGAAACCGTGCCAACCAAAGTTTATGGTCCGTTTTTGGATGGCTACAATTTTTATAAATGTGATTGCAAAAAAATGATTGCCAAACTGTCGTGAAGAAAATAACTTTTTTAGAAGCTATTATATAAAGCAGCTTCATAGAAAAAAATATATTCTTGAAAATAATAAATAAATAATAGCCAAATAAAATTATGATTGTATTCTAAACAATAAAGCAATAAAAAAGCGGTCACAAATGAAATCTTAGTCCTATAAATCAACTTCTTATGCCTCACAATGAGAACTTTAGAAAACCAGGGATTCGTTCGATAAATAAACTTCTCATGCATTTAAAGAATAAGCCAACTACACGAATGCACACCCAATTATGAATATATGCATAGTATTCCATTTGCAATATTAATTAAGATGATATAATTATATAAATGATTGTAAACAACTTTTTTTTTTTTTTTGGGAAATTTGGGGCGAAAGCTCTTCTATTAACTAAGGAAAAATTACATGTAATAAAAGCCTATCCCAGAAAATGGGAAGAAGCCCAAAAAAACAACAAATGTAAAAGAGAAACCTATACCACCAATAAAACTAACCAATGAAACCAACAAAATTGTGGTATACAAAATTTGATCAGGACTCAAGCATATGCTGCAACAAAAGACGAGGGACTCGGTCATCGAATTGGACAGAAATAAACCCCTGGTTGCCATAAAGACCCTCCAAGGGGTTTTAGCTGCAGCGGTCATCATCGTCCTGCAAAATTGTCTGAAAGAACCAAAAAGATCTATCTTTCTGAGCAACCCAGTGGGCATCCAGTAAATGCGGCCACCAGAGAAACCAGCATTTGAAGCAGCCCCCAACAGTTAATACAAAAATAACAGCCAAGAACCAATTGCTAGGAATAGCAAGAGAACACCAATTACCCCAAAAGATATAATAGGTTGCTGCCATTTTTCCATCTCCCCAATTTAGCATGAACTGCATATTTTATCTTTCTAATCACAGTAGTGTGACATTCAATGATGTTGCCAAAAATTATGTCATTACGTGCCCGCCAAATGTAGTAAATAGCAGTATTTACTAAAAGGCAATAGAAATTCGGCATATCAGAAGAGTCCGAGAGGTTGTCAACCAAATCAAAAACTTGGAAGATGTTCGGACGGAGAAGTAAAGAGTCGGCTTGAGTGATCAGTGTATAGAGAATCTTAAAAGAGAAATCACACTCAAAGAAGAGATGGGAATGTGATTCTCTACTCACCAAGCAAAAGGTACATAGTGAATTAACTTTAATCCCACGCGTAAGATCCCACGCGTAAGATAGATCTTTTTGGTTATTTCAGACAATTTTGCTGCCATTGTAAACAACTTTTAATCAAACTCTCTTCTTCCGAAGTCCTATTTATCAAAAACAATAATTGCAAAATAATAGTTTCAATATTGCAATTAAGTCTGAAAATGAGTCCAGCCGAGCTCTAGTCATATGTGACCTGGCAACCCGTCGGGTCGGGTTCGGTTCGCATTTCCGACCCGTTTACCTAACCGGGTCGGGTTAGGGTCGACCCGTTTGAACCCGGGTCAATTCCGGGTCCGACGCGAACTCGACCCATGACCCGAAATTGACACCCCTAATTCTATGAGTTCGAGTAGACTCGTGAGATGGCTCATTTATTATAAAATAGAGAAAATGATTATGGTTCAAGTAAATATTATAATAAAATGATAAAAAGAATGAGAAATTAAAAGAAAAATAATAAAGATCTTAAATGCTAATATATTTTAAGTACATTTTATATTAATATTTTTTAAACGAGCCAGCTCACGAGCTAACGAATCGAGTCAGGGTTAACTCAAGCTTGACTTTTAGTTTATCGAGCTTAGCTTTTGAGCTATTTATCAAGCCAAACCTAAGCCGGCTCACAAATCGGCTCGATTCACCTACACCTCCAATTGCAATCATATAAATGGGGCTAAAAGCTACATGAAATTTATCTACCAAATGATCATAAATAGTTTTTCAAGGCTTTTAAAAAGAAAATAGACTAGAAAGCCATTAGACATTTTGTAATTAAATGATCATAAAAAATAATATTGAAATAAAAATACTCAAAATTATCTGGCAAAAAAATCTTAAATCTTTGATCGTGGCTCTGTCTTTTGAACTTTTATTACGTCCGATGTAAGGACGTAGAGGAACGTTCGGTGTAATGACGTAGAGGAACGTCCGGTTGAAGGCAAAATCCCGCCAAAAAATTCGGTATTTGCTTGGTACAACTAGGTATTATTTGATATTAACGAGAAATACCGCTCTTTGAATACCAATACCGAGTTATACCGAGTTGTACCGAGAAATACCGAGTTGTACCGAGTTTTTCTAGGAAAAACTCGGTACAACTTTTGTATAACTCGGTATTTCTCGATTTAGCTCGATATAACTCGGTATTGGGTCTTCAAATGATGGTATTCCTCGTTATTGTTTGGTATTGCTCAGTATTTGCTCGGTACAACTCGTTTTTTGCGGGATTTGGCCTCCGACCGGACGTTCCTCAGCGTCCGGTCAGAGGACGTAATAATTGTTCCTGTCTTTCACATCTTATTGACTGTAGCCATATTGAATTATATCTCTATTTTTAATCATTGCATCATGTCAATCATTTAATCACTTATTTAAAATACTAATATTTTGTATCATCAAAATAAGATTACGATACAATAAGTCCTTGTGTCAACCCAATACAATGAATGTCGTCTTGCATCAATTGCTTGGCCTTAAGCTTTCTATAAGATTCATGCACTTAAGCTTTGTTTGGGACAACTTTTTTACAGCTTCTTAAAGCTTCGTTTAGGGTCGCTTTTTTACTGCTTTCTGAAGCACGTTTCCAACACAAAATTTTGTAGTTTACAAATTTTTTGTACTAAAAAACTGTTTTAGAAAGCAATTAAAAAGTCGTCCCAAGCGAGGCCTAAAATAGCTTTATAGTTAAAAAAAATTTAATTTTTATGCTAAAAAAATATTTTAAGAAGCAGCAAAAAAGTCGTCCCAAATAAAGCCTAAAACTGCAGCCTCGATACCAGCAGCTTACAGAGAAAAAAAAGAGTAGAGAAAATTATCAAATTGAGGTTCATATTGAATTAAGATTTTTTTTTTTTTTAATTCTCCAATTACATCCCACCACTTATTTACATTCGGCTCCCTTGACTTTTCAACATTGCACCTTTTATAACAACTTAATTTCTTAACTATCAAGATATTATTTACTTTGACATAATGGCCTCACGATCTTATCTCGCTACTGTAACTTTCTAGTAGATTATGTATCTTACATCCCATTTAGTTAAGACCATCCGCAATCGAACGACATACATTCGATTGCCGTCCATCAAACGATCCAACCGAACGCATTTTACCCTCTATTCTACAGGAGTGAACAGTGTGACGCCAATATTGGCATCGCAATATTCACACACGCTTTATTATTATTATTATTTGTTCGGGATTTGCAAAAAAAGTGCACGAAAGAGGAGAAAGACGGTTACCTTTGACAGGGCGATGAAGAAGCGGGCAAAATGAAGTTTGATTGGAGACAAATTACCATATTTTAGAGAAGAAAGTGGGTTTTTCGGTTGGAGATGCCCTAAAAAATATCTTTAGGTTTAAGAGTTTAGTTTCTCTATACTTAAAAAAGACTTCACACCCTGTCCCTCAATCTGACTCATTTGAGAAATAGAGTAAGGGAATAAATAAATTAAAGAAATTAGAAAAAATTCAAATAAATAAATAAATCCTAATCAATAGACTAAGATCAATTTGATCAGTTTCTCAAAAAGAACATGACAATTACTGTAAACAAAGTACCATACAAACATTAAGGCCTTGTTTAATATTTTTCTCTTAAAACTTTTGCATGAGAAAAAAAAAACAAAAATGCAAAATTCAAGTAGGTAAAATATTTTTATTGTAAAGGGCATCTATCATGAAAGGCTTCTACTTACAATATATGAAATATAAGCATTGCCCTGTCTTTTTGGCTTTGCGCAGCTGGGCATTGGTGACTAGCCTGCCTATTGTATTCTGGCATTACAGGAGATCATGGCTACACAAGCATGTTATCTGTGTCGCGAACAATTTTCATGGAAGGAAGCACAATAGCAGCAATGGGGTTCTGTTCAATCCCACCACCTTCATCAATAACAAGACGGAGACCATCAATGTGGAGCTTTCCATGGTGACCGCTCACCACTATGGTTGGTTCTTTGGTCAGTTCCTGGAGCAAAGAGTTCCAGTCAGGAAAGGATAAAATGATTAGATAGATAAGATGAGGAATAGATTCATAAATTGTTGGAATGAAAATTTTCAAATGCTAAAAACACTGGTTGATGAACAAATAGGATTGTGAAAAAAATTTCTAATTTTGCCGAACTACAAAACACTAATTGGGAGCGATCTTCATGCACTCATGGCCTCGTTTCTTCCAACTTAAAAGAGGCATTAAGATTCTATATCAATGAAATTTGCAGTCATGGTGTTGATCAGGAAATCTATTGCATCAAATTACCTGGAACAATAAAGATTGGTGAAGGTGAGCCAAAAAAAAAAAAAACATTCAGTTGTCTTTACCAGAAGGAAGGCTCTTCAGGCAAATGATACAAACAAGGATAACTATTTGAAAGAGGCTTTGAAAATGAGGAAACTTTTGGAGGAATTCTACGAAGACCATGGGCTGTGCTCACCAACCATTCTTGATGCACATGGGTACATTTTTACATAAAGTATTTCATCTTTGGAATGGTTCATGTCAAATCAAGAAATAAGTTTTGTGACAATTGGACAAAGGGTTCTCGCTACTCCATTAAAGGTCTGCTTCCAATACAGGCATCCAAATGTAGTTGACATGATTTTTCACATCATTAGAGGTGATATAAGCAAGGCTTCTCGTGGAATCAACCTAAGTGAGGATATATTTGCAAGATTCAACTCGATATTAAGGCAAAAAATATCACCCACTAGTATATTCAGGTTGGGAAGGGTCATGATGTTGGACTCAACCAAATCTCCCTGCTTGAAGCAAAGGTTGCCTTTAGCAATGGAGAACAAATAATTAACAGAGATATCTATCACTTTGGCCTCTAATTTGACTTCTTCCCCATGCTTTCTTACTACTTCATGACTGTAGGGTTCTATATCAACTCAATGATGACTGCTATCATAGTCCACATTTTCCTCTATGGCAAGCCTTACCTATCATTAAGTGGGCTTGAGTTTGCCATTATAAAGCAGGTAGCCAGGCACTAATGAGAGGAAACAATCTTCTGAAAGCTGCTATGGCATCTCAATCTGCCGTCCAACTTGGTCTATTGATGGCCTTACCCATGGTTATGGAGATTGGGTTGAAAAGGGTATTCAGAACTGCATTGGGCGACATAATCATCATGCAACTTCAGTTGTACTTAGTGTTCTTTACATTCTTGCTTGGAACAAAATCCCATTACTTTGGATGGACAATCCTACATGTCGTACATGGTGGAGCAAAATATAGAGCTACTGGACGAGGATTCGTTAGGCAACATGTAAAGCTTGCAAAGAACTACAAGATGTACTCTAAAAGTTATTTTACAAAGGGTCTGAAACTTATATTGCCGCTAATTGTTTATTAGATCTATGGATATGCAACTACAGATTCAACAACCTTTATGCATCTCACTACATCCACGTGGTTCCTTGTTGTCACCTAATTTTTTGCGTCATTTCTTTTTAATCTTTTTGGCTTTGAGTGAAAAAAAAAATATTTGATGACTAGGATGAATGGAACAAGTAGATAAAAAGTGAAGGCATTAGTAAAGATGTTAAATTGTTGAAAGATAGTATATTCTCTAGAGTGAAGCACTAGCAGATAATGAAGGATATAGAACTGAATTATGTGCTAAGTGGTTTTCGACAGGAAATAAATTTTGTTGTTAAAACTGATTATCAGTAGATAGTTCCCTTCCTTACACCTTGAAGACAATGTGACTCTTTGGGAGGGAAATATTGATACGTCAGGGGGCCCACCTTGTGGAGCCCAAGGAAAGATATTTAGAAGATTCCTAATCAAGGGGAGTTGTTTAGGAAAGTTTCATAATTATGTTTATATTGCTTATGAAGGTTTCCTAAATTATGTTTAATTATTTAGAAATATTTCTTAAATTATGTTTATACTATTTATGAAGTATTCGATTGTTTAGGAATGTTTTCTAAATTATGTTTAATTATTTAAGAAGATTTTCTAAATTATGTTATACAATTCATGAAGTATTTAATTGTTTAGGAAGGTTTCCTAAATTATATTTAATTGTTTAGGAATGTTTCCTAAATTATGTTTAATCATTTAGGAAGGTTCTATTTGTGTTATGGTGGCTAGGGCTATTTAAGAGGGAATTGTCTAAGTTTTAGATAATGTTATTGAGGAGTTTTGTGAGTGTTTGCTATCAACTGTTTTTGTGAGGGATTCTAGCGACATCTAGAATTTGGGAGAGAATGTCTTCCTCTCGAAAGAAGACCATTGTATATTGCTTATTCGCATTTCCTTTCTTATCAATAAAAATCTGTTGGTTTGCTGAAATTTACTACTTGCTCGCTAATTTTTGGTATTCAAGTCGTATCAATCTCTCAATAAATGTATAGCCTCCATGATAGACCCACCCGACATGAATCCAATTTGATTTTGAGAAACATTAGTATCATGTCGTAACCTATGCTCCATAACTCTCTCCCATAATTTTAAAGTATGAGACATTAACTTAATTCCTCTATAATATAAGAAAGATATTAGAGGCCGATATTTCCTACAAGAATTAAGTGGGTTAGCAGACAGAAGTACTGCGGAGAATTAAAGAGGTAGCTAGCCAAGATTCCTTAATACATGCAATACATAATACATATTACACATTATATGTACATGTAGCAAAACTAGAGGTGCACCATAGCATATGTTACAAATGAACTGATATGAACGCATTGAGACTTATGAAAATAGCAATTATTTTGTAGGGATTAATGTTTGAAGTATGCATAATAAGAATTTTGGTGATGAGTATAAGTTTGAGAAGGATTGAGAAATTCAAAAAAAAAAAAAATTAAGGTAAAGCTCCCCTAAGGATTCACAGAAGCACCTTTGATCAGAGACTTACAAAGAAGGCTAGAAAAAGAGCATTCCAAATAGTGAAGATTAATAAATGTCTCACCATTAATTACTTTGTTGCATAGCTAACCAAGGTTTACAGTGGAGATGGCTATAATCAAAATCATAAATTTCAATGATTATATTCCCCCTCCCCTATTTCAAAATCCTCTAAAGGGCAATCACTCAAATTCAACGACAAGTGAACTTTTGGTTCACCAAAAAATATTTTACTGAAAGACTTTACATATATACATTGGAGATTGGCAAATGGCAATGCACTCATCAAATGGCACTCCAAAATCCTTCATAAGAAATAATACAAAACTGTTATTGTGACATAATCCTCCCAAGCAAACCTTTGGATAAACCTACAATGTGATTGAACTAAATACCAAGAGAAAAATAAAATTACCTTATAGTTAAATAACTCTAGAGAATACTAGGAAAGTTGCATCACCTGAGGTATGTTCCATACGTTATGCCTCCCGCTAAGATCAGCCACCTTTGGGATGCTTGTATCTTTAGCTTTCAAAAATTTTAGCTGTTCATCAACACTTCTTGAATTTTCCAAGCCAGCATGAACAGCTATGAGTTTGCAGCATAACCTTCCCCCCAAGTGATCAATCCATACATTGTCCTGCAAATTCACCAACAATGGCCATTTCCTCACAAGAACTAAGAGAAAAAAAAACATTACGTTAAGATCCCCTCACTAGAATCGCATCCTACCTCCTCATGAACCCAAACTAAGCTTGCCAGAAACTTCTTATGATGATCAGGCACTGCCTTAACCAAATCTGCCAGCAATTTATATCATGCAGAATAAGTCAGCTTCCATTGAATCAACTAACTACTAAGAAACCTCATCGCAATACAAGTTTATTACCAGGATTGCAATAAGGAAGGATAAATACCAAATAAAAAAACAGTAATTCCAAGTTGCCATGTTGCATTTCTGAAGAATTCCTCTTGATTTATAGAAGACTTAACAATATTCTATAGTATCTATCATTCAGTACAGGCAACTGATAAAATCTTCATTCCTGAAGATTAACAGGAGCTACGAGATCCTAAACTTGTGCAAGATATTAAATTTTGGTAGATAGTTAAGACATAAGACCCAAACAAAATTCGTAAAAATGAGTAGCAATAAAAACCTGGTGATCCGTGAGCAACACCATAGGATTTGAAAGTAGGTTCGCCGTCGTAGATGGAACCCTTATAAGCCATGTTCTTCTTGGGGTTCCACTTATCCCGGATGAATCCACCCCACCGCCTTCCCTGGACGTGCATAAATTCGTATCCCTCGCCCTCGAACCAACCCTCGCGGTCCTTGTTGAGCTCGAATTCAGCCCATGTAGCGGAAAAGGGGGATCCATCCGGCGGCGGTGGAAGTGCGCCGACGAATGCTGCGAAGGCAAAATCGTGGTTGCCGCAAAGGAAGACGTGAGACTGGTTAGGGTAACGAGAAGAGAGGGACAAAAGGAATTCGAGGACTTCACGGGTTTGCGGCCCGCGGTCGCAGTAGTCGCCGAGGAAGATGACCAGGGCAGTTTGGAAGGCGGCGGTGCCGACTGCAGCCTCGAGGTTGGACCAAAGGGATTGGAGCTTGGAAAAATAGCCGTGGATATCTCCGATACAGAGCACCGTCCTAGCCGGTGGCTGATCGCCGGCGTTGATGGCATATGTTTCTCCCATTCGCGAAGCTCCCTCGTCCGCTAATCTAAAAGAACAACGAATATGGCGAGACGCCTATATAGAAATAAAAGATGATATTACAAAATTTAAAATTAACTTATTACATGTTATGGCAGTATTTTAATACTATAATATTATTAAATGCAATATTTTCATATTCATAGATAATTTATACATAATCAATAGGCATATAAAATTTTATTAATAATACGGATACAATTTTTAAAATTATATGAAAAGTAAGAAATGGATTTATGTATAAGAAGTTTTTTAATCCATCAATTTTTTTTGTGTCATAAATATAGCATCCATTATAAAACTTAGGCTTCGTTTGAGACAGCTTTATTATTGCTTCTTAAAGCAGCTTTCTAGTACAAAAATTCTAGTAAGCTGCTTTAAGAAGCAACAAAAAAGTCATCTCAAACGAAGCCTTAGTCATTTAAAAAAAGCATGTTATAGATGAATTATTTATGAATCATGTAAATTTCACAGTTGATTGCTAAATACAACTCAAAAAATAGACCACAAAGAGATGCTAAGATTTAATTCAAACATTATATGATTAGTAAGAAGTAGACACTTGATTGCTAATCATCAAAAAGCACGAGTAAGAATCAACAGACGGAAAATCCCTAGACAGCTATCTAGCTCTCTCCTCTTCTCCCTCACTTGGATATATATATAAACATTTTTAGTGCCTAGTGCCACGGTGGTCCAACATACCCAATATCTCATGCTCATTATTAGTTACTATACAACAAAGAGCATCGGCATTACCGCGTCAAATTCCAGTGCTGCAACCATAGCGCCTCCAAGCATAGTGTCGTAGCACCGAACCCATAATTTTTTATGTTTTTTAAAATAAGTTCATTTTAAACTTTGGGTTGTTACATTACCCATCCAACTAGATATCAATACAATTTCAAATAGAGACATTTATAATTTGTTTAAGGCAAATAATAGTCATATAATAAGTGAGTTAAGTTTGAAAATTCAGTAATAATAAATTCATGAACTCTTGAGAAGAAGAGCAAGAAAATTGATGGAGCACATAATTTTCAATTTTTTAAATGAGAGAACAATTATTTAGCTACAGATCATGATAAAAGGAAAAAAAAAGTTCTATCTTTTTTAACCTTTTTTTTTTCCTTGAAATATAATAAACCACAAATTCTGGCTGCAAAACATGTAAGGGTTTAGGGTAAAATGATTCCATCCTGATAAAATGATTCCATCATGATAAAATGATTCCATCCTGATAATCTAATGAAAATGATTTTAGGCTAATCATAGTACAATATAAAAAATCAAAGAAAAAACATGCAATTATTAAGCCTCACAAACCAAACAAACATAGAAAATTGCATAAATGAATAAACGTGTAATATTTAAATATATATGAGTTCTATAATACACCATAGAAAAAATAAATAAATATAATTGGGCTATACAGTATGCAATCCATTCATATGTTATAAACATAGTTGAAGTGATATGTGGGGTCTTCAATATTGTACTTTATGTTTTGTAGATATATACGACTCTTCTGTTTAAATCATTCTACATAATTACAAAGTTTTTATTGACTAAAATATATTTAAGAAAATTGAAAATATGAAAAATGTCAACTAAACTACATTCACATAAGTTTCCTTTAAATTTTATGTAAAAAGTAAAATGGCATAACACTGTGCTAAGCAAAGCAAGAAGTGCTTCTAAGGGCACTACATAATAAATACATATATGAAAAAAATATCTTTTATCATAATGCATATACTTATAAATCAAAGAACATTTCCAACCCATTAATACATCAATGCAATTCTAATTATACCCTAATTCTAGAATGCCTAATGATATGCATACCATGACATATATCGTGTGCTAAGTTGGAATAGGTGACCATGCAGTTTATATATGATGTTCAATTTATGTATTATTTGTGGGTGTTTCATCAACCAAAGTTTGTTTTGAATTCAAATTATTAATAACTCGAACTTCTTGTTAACATATTTTCTTACTCATGGGTTTCATCATTAAAGGTTATAAATAACCTAAGAGAAATGAGCACAACTCATATTAAGATGGACCATGTTATCTCTAGGTCATATAATATATGCTCTAAAATGTTATAACTAATGGAGATATGGAGGAACACATTTCAGAGATGGATTATGATATGTGATAAAGTGTCAATAGAGTGAGTGGAAATCCTATTCCAATACTTTAAGACAAGTGTTTAAGTGATCAAAGGAATATAATCAAAACTACTCTAAGGTCATAGATTCCTAGGTCAAATTATGAATTCAAGAGACCATTAGGCTAGGTCATATCCACTAAGGGTCGTCTATGTCATTCTAAAGTCTAGAGTCCACTAATGTCGACACTCCATCTTAAGGTTGAATGTCATATCATAACACTTTAGAGGTTCAACAAAGCTAACACAAGTACTGAATTAACTATATTCAACAAACTATGTATATAGCAGACCACTCATCAATTTAAGATTAGTTAGGATATAATAGGGTTGACATCTAACTGGGGTAGGCTATGTTAAAGGGCATGGGGATCCATTAAATAGACTTAATCTAAAATCTTTCCTCTATCTTACTTAAGGTCAACTATTGAGAGACTAAATATAAAGCTACTAATAAACTTGGAGATAACTACTAAGTCTATTAGGGAAGTCATTAAATAACTCAGTATCATCTAAGATAATCTCCAGTAATTTAACTAAAGAGTTAAGTAAACTATCATATTACCGAACACCAACTAGATTGAATTATGGTCAAGGTCAGTAAATGTAACTTTAAGAATGATTATGGTAAAATAAATCAACTCAAGTAAAACTTATGATTTAGCAGAGGTTAAACCAAATAAATTATAATGGGTCACAAAACCATCTAAAATGGTTTAAGATGGGCTAGACATAGGGTCAATGGGGCAATTTGGTAATAATGTAAGGCCTAATGGGTAAAATAGATTAAAACCATAACTTGTGTTATGGTTAATTAGACCAAAGGGTGTTCAATGCATTCAAACACCAAAAGCTTAGATAGGGTAGGCCTTGGTATAACTATACAACATTTTTTTAATTTAAATAAAATTTTAAAATAAAAAATCCTTAAATAAGAGCCTTCAATGATCATTAGGTATTATCAAAGGTCTATAAAGCTTAAGTTTAAAGTCAAAAGCCTCTAAGGTCCTACAAACAACTAAATTAATTTCAAGAATTTAAGAATAATAGATATAAGAATAATGATTATTTTAAATCTTAGGAATTTCACATGGACCTATTAAGCAATAAATAGATTAATTTTTAATATTTCCTTTAAGTTCTAAATGATTTTAAAAAATATAAGGTGACGTGAAAAATAAATGGAATGATAACATGAACATCAAACATACCCCTTCATTGGATGAATCTCAGCACTTAGATTAAGATGAGGGGTTGAGCGACTATCTACAACTAGAGATGTCAATAAATGATCCGATCCGAATCCAACCCAAAAAATTCGAGTTCGGCTAACTGATTTAATAAACGGGTCAAATTTGGGTCGTGCATTCCGACCCTTTATTAAATGGATCAGCTTGAGTTAATCCGTCAATCCGATTTTGACCCAAAAATGACTAATTAAATACTTTTTCCTTAAATTCTTTTATTTGTTAGTATAGTCTTCTTATTTTTAATCAATTAACCTAAAATCTATAATTAAAAAGTTAATAAAAATATATTTTTTACTTACAATGAGTTATCGGGTTGGATTCGGGTCCACCTCGTTGACCCATTAATTATGGTAGGATTCATATTTTTTATTTTTGAGTCAGGCTTGAACCTGACCCGTTGACTCATTTTGAGATCCTTATCTACAACTTTTTGTTAGGAATATAGGATAAGATTATAATTGTTCCTTTGAAATTTATTTTTCGATGGTTACCAAACCAATTCACTTGATACTCGACTAGTCGATGGTTACCAAACCAAGTACTTGATGGAAAGCTTATTGAGAACTTTATATGGTTGTTACAAAGAATGTGTTGAGGAGGTGTGTGTAATAGTTAAAAGTCAAGCTTAGTGACAACTTAAAGATAAAGAAGGTTATCTAAACTATAGCTTAACTAGCTTGTCAGTAGCTTGGGTGAGGTTTACTATGTTAAGGCAAAATTAAGCACATGAGCTTCCCTTTGAGCTCCCCTTGACTGATATATCAACCAAGGCTCCAAAGTAGCTCTATTTACAATGGCTTTCTATAACCCTATAGGCTATGACGGGCAACTATCAACTCTATAATAGTCTTCATAAGCTCAAGGAAATTGTGGAAGTAAGAGCAATCTCTCTAATAAAGTAAATCAATTGCATAAAAAGATTTTCTCATCCTCAATTGGCTTTGGTATCTCACAATAGTGGGGATGGGAGCTTGGAAAGGTTGGGGAGGCTCCCTCGTAGCTTTAGGAATTCACTAGAATTACTCTATATGGTTGGGAAGACTTAGAGGAGAGCAATGCTTATTGAAGCTCAAAATCAACTCATCAAATTTACGCCACAAAAGGCGAAGGTTTCTAGGGTTAATGCTATTACTATTCAACATGGTTGAGATTGTGAAAGCCACTAGGTCGAGTTTAGGGGGCGCAAGGTCAATCAGGCCTAAGACTTAATTCAGTTATACAAGTTTTTTGAATACCCTAGTGCCTAGCCAACTAAGTGGACTTAAACACATCGACTGAATCAATCTAAATCAGCTAAGATAGAGTTGGGCTGACCCCATAGGTCTAAGACATAATATAAGCCACATAGAGGAGGAGTTAGCTACGCTCAATTAGGCTTGTTTAATGCCAAATTAGCCAATTGTTGGGTTAACTAACTAACTAGTTAAGTTCAATGGATCCATGGGTCTCTTATGTTTTTGTACCGACTACTAGTTCAATTGGGCATTGAATCCATGGGCATTATTCGGTAGAGTCAAGCCAATTTGAACCATAGGTTCGCTTTGGATTCAATTAGAATATGTTGGGTTACCTACACCTAGGCTAGTTCAACTCTATCTTAGACTAGTTTTACCTTAAACTAGGTCAGCATGACAAGAAAAACAATGAAAATTAAAAATAAGTCTTAATTGCAAATAAAAAATAACACTACTAATTATTATTTTTCAGCAGTCACCTATATTAATTTCTGTGTTAAATGTCTTGAATTATTTTTATTTTTTTTCTAATTTTAATCAATCATTTGAATTAAAAATACATCAAAGTATATTAACATATTCTGATAAGATATATTTTCGATGTCCTATTTGAACACCTGTAAGGTTATTCCTTAAATTCCATCTCTCTAAGTGCCGTAGTTGACCAACTTTGCTTTCCTATACACCATAAAAATTTTTATATCTATCTACTCATATGCCAACAATCTATTTACATTAGGAAAAAATTTTAAATTAGAATACTCTTGTTAAAATTTTTATTAAAATGAATTTAAAAAATTTTAAATTTACATTAGGGGCCATTGCTCGCTTGCCATTGTTAGGCAATCATCGTCCAACCTTCATCTTCAGATTACTGTTGTCCGACCTCCATCTTCTGACCATTGTTGTTTGACAATGATTATTCATCCACCGTCACCCAACTATGATCCATTGACCACCATCGCCCTATCATGATCCTCCCACCACAATTGCCTAATTATGATCCATTGACTATCGTTACCTGACTACGAATGCCCAACTACCATCGTTTGACTACGATTCTTCAACCATCCGTTCTTTATTATAGACTTCCGACTATTATCGCTTGAATATGATCCTTTTTTGAACACCATCACCCAACTTTGGGTTTTTGATCACTTTGCTATGGTTCTCCTGCCACCATTTTCAGACTGCGATCCTCTAATCATAGTCCCTTGAATACGGTCCTCCAACCACTTTTATTAAAAAGGTTAGATTCAGGTTAACATGCTAACTTACTTTTTACCCTAAAAGGCACTTGTAATTTTTTTTATATATTTTTTAGTTGTGGGTATAATCTTCTTATTTTATATTAAATATTCTAAACTTTATAGTTCATAAGTTATATTTTTTTAAACCAAAATGAATTAAAGAGTTAGGTTCTGTCATTCGGGTTGTTAGCGGGTCCGAATTTGGGTTGATGTTTTTGATTTGTTTATTAAATGAGTTGAGTTTAATTTGATGGATTCATATCAGATCAATTTTGAGTCAGCCCGAATCCGATCGGTCAACCCAATTTGACACGTCTACGCTTAGAACTTTTATTCAGTCTGGACACCTGACGTAGCTCTACATCCGGGCGACAATAAAATGTCGCCACGTGCTCTTACTCTTACCGCGCGGCCCGACGACCCAGCCTGAACTGGAACATGGTATTGCTATGTATTAAATGATTTGTGCAGACCAGGGTATTGCTAGATATTGCTCGGTATTGTTTGATAACGAGAAATACCATTATGTCAAGACCAATACATAGCAATACCGAGCAATACCGAGTAATACCCCTGATTTGGTAGGTATTGCTCGGTATTGGTAGGTATTGCTTGGTATTTGTCTTGGAAGAGCGGCATTTCTCGTTATTGTCAAGCAATACCGAGCAATACATAGCAATACACGAACATAGCAATACCGGTTTCCGGTCCGGGTTGGGTCGTCGGGCCGCGCGGTAAAAAGTAAGAGCACGTGATGACATTTTATTGACATCTGGATGTAGAGTTATATTAGGTGTCGTGACTTAATAAAAGTTCCTATGCTTAGATAGTTAAAATATAAGAATGATAATTAGTTAAACATTTAGATATGATGTACATAAACCCGCCCCTCCCCTCCGTCCCTCCCCCCTAAATTTTTTATTTAACATTGTTTAATGGATCTATGCTCATTCATCAGCTCGTCCAATTTCTTACAAAGGAAGAATCGACAATATCTTATGAGATGAACAAGTGGACGTGATATCACAAGGATTTCTGCTGCTTTCCGTTTTCTACTGTTGGTTGGGATTGTTGATGCGTGTACTTATAAGAACAAGAGAGCTCAGGATTGTATTTCCATGAAAGCAAGAGGCGAGCCAGGAATCAGCTGCCACACAACTCGGCGAGATTTTGTCTCCTAAGTTTTCGACTTGGAATCGCCTGCTCGAATGATCGCTGCAAATTTCCGATTCCAGGTGAGTCATCCCCTTGATTGAGCGAAGAAACATCGCAGTGTCTTCTGATTTTGCTCGCTTGGTCGAATAGGTTTTCTTCACTTTATTTTGCTACGAAATTGAATTTGTGATGGACGTTCCTTTAATTGGATGTTTTCTAGATTTGTTTCTGAAGCCAGTGAGTTTCAGCTAGGTTAGTTGGTAAAAATGTTGAAAGTTGTTTTCAAGATTTTAGGATCAAATCCGCGTCCATCAAATTTGTGCTTATACACTCCACATTCTTTAAAAAAATATAGAACTATTTTTTTCCCCTTTTAAGGCTGCGTCTGTTGGATGTCACGAGCAAGTGATAAGCTGCGATTTGCTTATTCTCTTTCGATAGCCTAAGTAATTTACTTTTTCTCTTTTTCATTTCTTCGTTTCTTCTCTTTCGATAGCCTAAATAATTTCTACGGTTTACTTTTCTCTTCTATATTTCTTCGTTGCTGTTCGACTTCGCGTGCGGTAAGGCTTTTGAACGAATCGCTTCTTCGCCTACTTTGACGACGTTCCTTCCCGTCGAATCGGAAGCAGCGACGGTTCGCCTATTGGAAGTAGCGACGGTTCGCTGATTGGAAGTAGCGAAGGGAGCTTGCTCGCTGCGAAGGTCTTTCTCCTTTGGCTTGCTTCTTCGGCCAAATCCCTTAAGTCCGCCGAACTCCAGGACATAGTAAATCCGGGATTTACGTCAAAAAGAGGGAAAGGGAGGATTTATTCCGCCGTGAGATTTACCGGCTGCTCAAATTTCGTTTGGCAGGATTTAGGACAAATCATTCTCAAATCCTGCATAAATCCTGTTTTCAAACAACACTTAAATCTTTGTTTTTTTTTCTATAAAGTCTTCTTCCAATTCATCTAAAGTTATTATTTTTGAATCAACTCGTGCAAAATATGGTTTTTTGATTGTTTGTTTGTTTTATGTTTTGATTCCACAATTCCTTTTGCGCTGCTTTACATATTCCCACATAGAATACTATTTTTGGGCTAATTGTTACTTTAATTATTCTTCAAATAAGCAGGGACGCGCCCATTCAATGATTGCTTTCAGTTTTTCCATTGCCGCACTTTTCAGATTAGGCTTGTGGATTTGATATACTGACGATCTTATTGGTGTGGGTTTCCCAGAACTGAACTGAAAAAGCTTTTTGCAACTTCAATTTTAATGAATATGGGAATATCAGATGTCACACTGCAAGGGCTCTTTGGGCCTCTATCGGGTTCCTCTTATTGTGTATTGGCCAGCACACAGTTGACTACACCCTTGAAACAATTGAAGTCCAAGCGGAGAAAGTGCTCATTTTACATGAAATTGCAGTCTTATTCCGGGATTGACCCCAACTTGTTGCTAATAAATGGGGCACAAGTAAAATCATTCCAGGGAAAGGCAGACAGGAACAGGTCACAGTTTTTGAAATGCCAGTGTCAGCGTACTGATGGTATCCCTGGAATTTCTAGTGAGGATGGTAATGGTGCCTGGCTGAAAGGGCATTCTGGTGCAAAAAGGCAATTTGAGGCTACTGCTCAGAAGGTTTTTGATATTGAGGAGATTAAACAAGTGAGACATGATAATGAAGAAATCATCTTAAATGATGATAAATCTGCATCTACTGGAGCAGTTAAATTTGCACCACCGAAAAGGAAAGGGTCATCCATTGAGGATGAAGCCTTGCATCTTCTACAAGAATCTGTTGTGCATTACTGTGGGACTCCTGTTGGAACTATTGCAGCAAAGGTCCTTACTGATGTCAGTGCTCTAAATTATGATCAGGTCTTCATACGTGACTTCGTTCCTTCGGGCATTGCATTTCTGTTGAAGGGAGAGTATGACATTGTTCGCAACTTCATCCTCCACACACTTCAATTACAAGTAAGATGATGTTATTTCACTGTGTATATAGTTATTTAAAATATTCATACGTTATTCTACAGATTGTTGTGTTCCTTGTGGAAGACCAATTAGAGGAAATGATTTATACTCTACATGCTACTTTACTACTTAGTGTTAGGGGTGTCAAAATGGGTTAACAAGTCAGGTTTAGTTCTAACCCGAAATTGACCCAATCTTAACCTAGTTGACCTAAACCAAATTGTTTGATAAATGGATAAAAAAGTGGACCCAAACATTACCCACCGACAACTTAGATGACCCGAATCTGACCCGATAACCCATTTTGATCTTAAAAAAGTTATAACATGTTAATTATAGAGTTTAGATTAATTGATCAAGAGTAAGAAGAATGTACCAACAAGCAAAATAATTTAAAGAAAACTAATTAAACGGTTTAGAATTCTTGACCCGAACTTCACCCATTTATTAAATGAGTCAAATTGAACCAATATTTTTTGGGTCAGATTAGGTTTTGTTGTTGGCCCGAGCCATTTATTGAGACCCTTATTTAGTGTGTATCATATTGATGCAACCTAGGATCTTAAACCTTTTAGGAGAACTCTATGCATGTAAATTAAGAAACTTCCTTTCAATAACACATAAACAAACACCAACAAAAAGAGACTTAGTAGTAAACAAACGTGAGAAAATGATTAGGAATCGTGTAAGAAAGAAAATTACAAAAACGCATAAACTATAATAACCCTCAGAACAACCACGATTGGTTACCTCACATGTAACTAACAACATTTTGGGAAAGGTGCTCAAAGGAAAGATCTAACCCGTATTCCACCATTGAAATTTTGATCCAACACAAGTCGGCACTCCTCTGGCAACTACTAATAGAACAGGGTAACAACACTGTCTCACAACTCACAAAGTTTAGAGAAGAAATATACACGTGGAAGGGAAACCGTGGAGGGAAGAAGTTGAAAGAAGACCGGGATGAAGTAATAGGTTTGGGGAGAAGACAGCTTGCAAGCAAAGAAGAATCCCTCATGTTTAATTTTTTTCTCCAAAAAAACTCCCCCCAATAGGGAATCATCCACTATATATAAGAGGAGGGGAAAAGAGCTTTTATTTGTTCACATAAATGTGCCTTCAATACAACTAATAAGAACCATCTAAATCAGCTTATTAAAGGAGAAGCCAAAGCATCTTGTACTGAAATCAGCAAGGGAAAACCGAACAGCCAGTAATGGAAACTAAACAACCAGCATGGAAACCGAACAACTAGCCGGGAAACCTAACAGCCAATAGAGAAACCTAAAAGACAACAAGGGGAAGAATCCGAGCAGCCACAACCTAAGGGGAGAAATGGACCAAGCCCAATAAGGAAAAAAAAAAAAAACAACAACCATTATTTAAATACCCAACCAGCCACCAAGGAGCAAGGAAGCAAGATCAACACAAGTGGAAGGACAATGGTGTAAACCAATCCGAGAGCATCGAACCCATAATGATTATTGGTTGTTTTCCATCATAGGGTAATACAAAAATAAAATACATATCGTCCAATAATAGAATAAAAATAAAAATACATAAAATGTAAATTCTTGACTACATAAATTCTCCCATGGTGGAAGAATCCCATCTCCTAATGAAAATGTCTCAGTAATATGCTGGTAGATATCAAGACGATTAAGCTATAACTTAGCTTCAATCCAAGAATAGTCAGTCAGAGGACGTCCACTATTTAACCAAAAATCGGCAGTGCACCCCATGTCTTATCTGAGTAGTACGAATATCCAAAACATCATCGATAAGATCATCATTGGTTTGAACTGGAGCAGGAAGGGGCAAAGTCTCTATGTCCACAAAATCAGTCGGCTCTCCATCATATGTAGTAAGATTGACAACATTAAACACAGGATAAGTTCCTACAGAATATGGAAGATCTAATAGATAAGTATTTGTCCCTAATCTTCAAAGGATTCAGAAAGTACCAAATTTCTTTAAGCTTAATTTGCCAATTGTGCAAATGGGAAAGTGCTGTTGTCGAAAGTAAGCTATTACTATGTCTCCTTCTTGAAAATAACATTCTCTCCGGTGCTTGTCGGCCGCTATCTTGTATTTGGCATTTGCCATACGAAGTTTTTCTGAGACCTATTGTTGGACCGATTGAATGTGCTCAACAATTTCAGTAGCGTCAACATTGATTTGACCAGGCATAAGTAATGAAGTTCGGCCCAAGATGTGGGGAATAGGTTGGTTAAATAATTTCAAATGGATTTTTGTCGATAGATTAGTTGATGGAATTATTATAAATAAATTCGGTTTGGGGTAAAATCAAATCCCATTGGGAAAGTCTTTCGCCGACAATACATCTAAGCAAATTTCTCAAACTTCTGTTTACTTCTTCAGTTTGTCCATCAGTTTGTGGATGATATGCACTACTGAATTAGAGAGTAGTTCCTAATTTTGATCAAAGTATTCCCAAAAAATGACTTAAAAAGAGTATCCCTATAAGAAGTAAAAGTTCAAGGTATGCCATGCAGTCGCACAATTTCCCTAAAAAATAATTCATCAACATGAGATGCATTAGAGGTTTTCTTACAAGGATTGAAATGAGATATTTTACTAAATCAGTCAACGACAACGAGCACAAAATCAAATTTTTGGGCTATTATAGGTAATCCTAAGATGAAGTCCTAGGTGATATCTTCTCAGGGTTTGTTTGGAATTGGGAGAGGAGTATATAAAAAGAGTATCCTTTGAATGATTGACATGTTTTACAATTTCTTACAAACTTGGATATATGTTTTCGCATGTGGGGCTAGTAATATCATTCTTCAACTAAGACTATAGTTTTTTTTTTGACCAAAATGTTCTCCTAATCCTCCACTATGAAGTTCTTGGATGAGTTTATCACACAGAGAGATTCTGGTGAAGAGTTACCAATAAGTGGGCTCCTCTACTTAAGGCATATGTGACTTTATTCAAACTCAAGTTTTGTATTTAAGATGAAATGTGTATTCTTGCAAGAAAGATGTCCACTTAGCATGCCTTCGATTTAAATTTTTTTGAGACCCTAAATATCATAGTGCTTTGTTATCAGTGTTTAACACAAATTCCCTTTGAATAAAATAATGTCTCCAGAATTTTAGGGCTTGGACAATCGCATAGAACTCATGAGGGGTGAATTGGACGTACAGCCAATACTTAAAAGTTTATTTTGAAATTCTTCCAATTCAATCCCACATAATATGGACAACAAAAAGGTAAAGAGTCACATAAGGCAACCTAATCTTGTTGTGCAAGATATATCACGCTAATTTGAGAGTGATCAAACACTAACCACAATAATGATGGTTTCAATACTCTATACTAATATACATAATCTTGTAAATAAGAAATGCAACCTACAAATGCAATCATACATATGTTTTTAGAGGTGTTTGGATAAATTGAACTATATTTGTGAGAAATGTGATTGGTGACCACCATGATAATAGGTAAACTTAGCTATTCAAGCTGTGCTCATTCAAGCACATTAAACAACAAGCAACACAAGATGCAAGCATTTATACAATGTATGATGGTGATGGTATTGACAATGCCAAAAGTGTGAATATGACTATTTAAAGCACTATATGAATGTTACTCTACTACATTGTACTATGAGCACATAGCCATTCAAATATCTTACATGCATATACAAGAAAATGTGCAATAAGTAAATCATACTATAGAGATATAGATACACGTATTTTTATGTACTTCAACACTCAACCGGCCATCAACATCCAAGCACATGCTCTCTTAGGATTCCTCTATACTCTCTCCTTAAGGAAAAGAAGCACTCCCTAATGGCAAAGTAGCCAATACACCAAATATACTCTCCTACATAAGCACAGTTGCAAGCACCTATCCTAGTGGGCAAAACAAACCCAAAAACTCTGTTGCAAGAGAAATACCTTGTGATGCAACCTAGGATTCCTAAAACAAGTAGGAGAACACTAGGTATGCAAAAGAAAACATCTTCCTTTCAAAATAACTTAAACAAACACAACAATAAAACATAACAGAATACCACTTATAATAGAATGAACAACACATATAACTCACAAAATAAACACAACCTTAGAACACAACAACACCTTACAACTTACAAGATACAACACTTTCAACTTGTAAAAAAAACACAACTTATAACTTGTAATAAAACTCTGGAAACAACACAACTTACAACTAATCAAAGTTTAGAGAAGAAAGATACAGGTGGAACCGTGGAATGTAAATTGTGGAGAGAAGAATAGATAGAATTCTGAGACGAAATATAAGAAGGAAGGTATAAGAGGATAGCTCGCAAGCTATAACAAACCTGCGGGTTTCACGTTCTAAATATTCATTACATATCTCTCTCTTTCACAAAGAAAATCAGCAATCTTATATAGAAAAAGAAGGGGAATGATACTAAATGCTCCTTAAAATTTTCACCCAAATAGCCAATAGAAGCCTTCCAAAACTGTCACCAAACTCTTCCATATCAATCTAATTAATTAGGAAATAAAGCATCTAGCATAGGTTTCAGCAAATGAGGAAACTGAGCAGCCAACAATAAAGATAACAAGGAAACCGAAAGGGTAGCTAGGGAAATGAAGAGTCAGCAGAAAAAATTGAAGTTCAACATAGGGAAGACCAAACAACTATCATGGGAAGACCAAACAATCATTTAAGGAAGACCAAACAATAGTAAAAATACAAGAAGACAACATAAAAGGGGAAAGACAATAGGGAAATTTAGTTACAATAGGGAATTTCAGCCAACAACAGGGAAATTCAACAATCAGCAGGGAAAACGAGAAGTCACAGGAGAAATATAGCTAGAAACACTAGAGAAAACATAAAGTAGGAAATCTTGATTGCATCACCTTGACAAAAACTTCCAAGATTTTGGTGGCATATAATGCTAAAACAAAACAAATCAAAATGCACAATCTCTCTAATAGATAGATTGAGAGATATGCAAATGAAAA